TTATTCAACGTCTGCATTGACTATTCATGCTGCATGTCTTACAATAATAAAATTGGCACGTCGTTTGAACTTGAACAAAAGTGGAATCAAAGAATTATTAGATAGCTTAAGGTCATTATTACCAATGAATGCCAAATTACCACGAACCGTTCTAGGATTAATGCAAATTATTGGTAAGTCAACAGAGTTTGAGGATTCTTTTCCTATGAACAGATCTTACCCTTCTTGACTTAAAAGAAACTGTCGAAAATATCTTGGACTTTAATAACTTATTTTTTCTCTGGTTATTCGAGAAAAATGTTTCGGAAGGTGTTTTTTCCTTTTTTTAGGTGTGGTAAATTCAAAGAAAGTTTCATACTACTGTCGTGAACGTTTATCTCGTTTAATTACACCACAACAAACCGACTGTTCATCCACGTGTCCATTGAATAATTTACGTCGTCCATTGTATATTTTCTAATTAGATTAACCGTTATAGCTTTTCTTTGCTCACGTGTTTTCGTGTGTGTTATACGAATAGAGCTACACGGAGAAAGTTACTTAACTCGTATGATGAAAGAAACAACCAATTACATAGAGTGAACCGTATTTTTTATCGATTCAAAGTTAGTTAGGAAAAAGTCAGCGAGAAAACACTTCGGAAAATTTGAGAAAACCCTATATTCCACTCATTTCAGATCAGTGATCTCGAATTTTAGAAGAGAAAATTTATTTAAGAAGTGTTTGAGATGAAAAACTATGATTTTATACGCATTAATATATGTGATAAAACTAGAGCATACGTCTTGGTTTCCCAAATTTCGCCATGTTCTGAAACCTTTTTTACAAATTATTTAGCGTAGTTTGTAGAGGATCAGACGGTCTATAAAATGCACGGTAAGAGAATCTAGTCAGGAACCTTTTTCGGGTTCAAAATTGACTTCTGAGCAAAATTAGTTATGTTTTGAAAATTGGAAAATTTCAGAAAATCCGACTTTTTCTTGGAAAACTCAATTATGTGACAAAATTAAATGAGCCATCTTCTTCAGTTTTTATCAGACCTTTGAATGAGATGCGCCTTGAACCAAACGGATGAAATTTGACTGAGTTACAAGCAAAATGCTGGCGACGCCTACTTTTTTAGAAATACTCGACCCCATTTACTTAAAAAATTCAGAACTCACTCAAAATAAGTTCAAACGGGTTAAAAACTTTTTCATAACCCCACTTTTGATCGTAGAATCCAAAAATATGAAAACAATATATGTTAATTTCGACCGTTCCACTACAACTCTCGATGGGCTCGTGAAGCCTCCCAGGTCAAGGAATCCTATGTAGGATGCTACAAGATTCTATGGGATCCTACAGATGATAGGATATCATAGGATTCCCATAGGAATCTTATGAATTTCCTATAAAAATCCTATCATAAAATCTTATATGAATCTTACCATAGGATCGCAACGAAAATCCTACTAGGATTCTTATTGTAGGATTTCTATAAAGTTCTATGAACTCCTATGATAGGATTTCATAGGATTCTTAATTTTCTCTGTTCTGTCGTCTTTTCTATTCACCGTTTTGTTTGCCAGAGAAACTGTTATAAATACGACGCGGAAAAAAACTAAAAGGTCGAGTTGAATAAGCTCAATTTTTCGCATTGAACAGTGTGAACATCAACATGGAAGCTCACTCACTGTTCTTGGGTTCATCCCAGTCCTGATTCAGAGACTGGGAAAGAACCCAACAGAGAAAAAGTAAATAGATAAAGCTAGCAGTAAATAAACAGCTGATTTAAGACTGAATATTTTGGTTTCAAATATGCCAGGATTCCTATGAAATCCTACGTAGTATCCTATAAGACCTTGCGTAGGATCTGATCTTGGATCCTACGACAGGAAAGTACAGGATAAATCCAAGACAAAGAAGTCTTACGTCTTTCCTACAAGATCCTATGTGGATTTGGTAGGATCCTACGTAGGATCTTGTAAGAATCTTGTAGGATCCTATAGTAGGATTGTTTGACCTGGGCTCTCTTAAGGTCAGTACCACAGGATACTGAGCGTTGGGGTTCACCGAAATAAGATATTCAAGATGATAATATCAATTTAAAACTAGATTTAGTTGGTCGATCAATTAGTAAAATGCTTATTTGAAGTGATACGAAACGAATAGAATAAAGGAATTTCTTTTCGTGAACAAGTTACTCGCACAAAAACATATGATTTTTTTATACAAGATAAACACAGATCATTCTAACACTATTTCTCATAAAAATACAAGTGTCTGTCTGGTAGCGCCATCGATAATCTCAGGATGTTGAATAGAAAGCAAATTCATGTAGTTGTTCTTCAAATTATATATCTATTCGTAGCAATAAACTTTGAAATAGCTCGATAAACGTAAAATCTCATGTTCCAAAGAGTTTCAATAGCTGTTTTTCACTGGTGCTGTGGACAAAGCAATATATTAAACTTGAATGAGTCATGCTTATCTGTCGAAATCAAGAGAAAAACAATACAAAATAAATGTTGATTTTTCACCTTTTGAGAATTGCTCGACAAAGTGACAGTTTTTATTTCAACATTTTACTTACTCTTTCAAAAATAACGTACATCTCATATTTTCAATACAAAATCATTCTGGATGATGTTTTTTGACTCTTTAATTAAACAGACATACTCGTCTATTCAGTTGAGACTCAACTGATGAGTCTGTCAGGTAATAATACGTTAAATCTACTCAAACTGTGTGTTAAATTACACACCAGATCGTATACTTTCATGTACCTACTTCATTCTAATCAAATAACTGATGAAAGCAATAGAGGAGAAGCTGAAGAAGGTATGCAGAGAACTATTGTCCCTGTGTAGATTGGATACACCAAAAAAGCGCTTTATCAGCAATTCTTTGGATACAGTCAATTTTGAGAGTGATCTTTAGTAAGAAAAAGAAAACGCCTGACTTTTAGAAACGTAATCGGTACTTGTGCAGAATAACCACACTATATAGTCTAGCTCTGTATGAAAGTAAGAGTGAATGTGTAATTCCGTACAAGTACCACGTAACCATCGCATCGCGCAAAAATAATTAGTCCTAACATTCATTTTAACCAGCCTACCTGGTACTTAATTTTCACATTAATAATATTAAGAACAATCGTTTCTATACTTCTTGTTTTTCTTATTGTTTATTCGTTCATTTCTGTAGTAAAAGATTCAAACCTCAATCTTTTCAACATAGGGAACACCAGATAGGTATTGGGAACACCGGCTATAATGTTATTAGGAGAACACTGAATCAGCGAAGGGAGCACTGGCTATAATCTTACCGCGTTATCCACACTAGCGTGTACGAACACCAGATGTATAGGGTGAGAAACGCTTAAGAAAAAGTGCTTCCGATCTCGAATTATTAGACTAGTGATACGTCAGTACGAACATATTGTTACTGATTTTCTACGAGACTTGTGTTCCCAAACGAGAAATAGTGTTAGAATGATCTGTGTTTATCTTGTATAAAAAAATCATATGTTTTTGTGTGAGTAACTTGTTCACGAAAAGAAATTCCTTTATTCTATTCGTTTCGTATCACTTCAAATAAGCATTTTACTAATTGATCGACCAACTAAATCTAGTTTTAAATTGATATTATCAT